CATTCACTTATTCTACATAAATATGTATATATATAAAAAAGCCTGCGCCATACTTACATGTGATGAATTGGTATTTGTATTGCTTGATGTTGGCATTAACAAAATATTGCCGGAAATCTTTGATCAAATCAACATTTTATAACACACATCGAAGCCGCAAACGTTTTTCATTCGATTTGTGAATTTAACTCAAGCTGCTTTATGTTGATTAGCACAATTAATATAACTATTATGTGTGGTTGTTATTAATTATTTCATATGATTAAAGTAAACAATTAGCCTAGTTCTCGCTTTTCAGGCTTGATTTAATTATATATTTGTTCTTTTGTTTAGCAATACTTGTTTTCTCAATTGTTCTCAATTGAATGAAAGGCAACTCAAACGGACTCGGACACGAAATCTTTGTGATTTTTGGGTCCCTTGGGAATTCTCTGCGGCTGGCAAGTTCGATTGTGGCTTGTATATAAACCTATTTATTATAATGTGGCTATAAACACCTCGATGCGTATTCACTTCAAAGAACAACAAATTGTTGTTGTTGTTGTTTCTTATGCGCTGCGCACTCATGTGTATACAAAATATGTGTGTTTATACACATGTGAATTTGTATAGTTTATATGGTATATGCGATATGTTACGAGTCGCTTGTTTATTTGTACAGAAAGGTTCTTTTATTTTTGTTTTTTTGTGCGAAAGCATTTTGCAGACAATTAATTGTACATTAACTTTAATTAGGTCAATATTTCCTTTTCTTTTCTTTTTTACCAAGCCTTGGTCTAGCTGTGGCCAGCTAATTACAGAAAGGATCCGAAGCAAAGTCGAGCTGAGCACAGCACAAAAATCCGGGCAGACATTTCAGCGATTCCTTTTACTACATAAATCATAGAGCGACTTTTAGCCAAGTTAAGGAACTGCAATTGGCCAACATGTGGCTGCCAATTTGCGGAAAATGTGACAGAAATCGAATTACCAGCGAACCACAGCAGCAATTTCTATTGCCAACTATTCAGACGCCTTAAATGGACATATGTATATATATATATATATCTACATATATATAGAGAGAGAGATTATATGGATGCACATAGAAGCTTAAGCCTTTCAAAATTTAAGTTGCTTTTGTGCTTTTGGGATGGTTTTTGAACAAGAAAACAAACGTTTTCCACAGAAAAAGTGCTCAAATTTGACAAAAATGTTTGAGAAAAGCTTTGAATCGAATTGAATTCTACAGCTCAAGAAGACGTTCATTCAAAGGCGCTGTTAATTAGTAGAGATTTCACTGTTATTATAAATATTCTACTACATATATATATATATATATATGTATCAATAACATATATAGATTTACGCGTATGCAAGAGCTGCCTATGCTCAGAGACTGAGCAACAACGGCAATTTACACTCATAATTTATGTGTGTGCAGAGTGAAGAGCCTACACAAAATTTTGACATACTTCAAGGCGCCGCGCACACGAACACACTCACGCACACGCACACACACAGATACGCGGACAGGGCAAGCGTGTAGGCACACAAATTGAAATTCTGGCAGCGGCAACAGCTTCAACTTGTTGACGACGTCGGAAGCAGCCGCAAGTAGTGGGCGGCGATTGCTGCGAAGGACGCGAAGCAGCAGGCAAAAAAAATCACAAGGCGCTGCTGGATTCAACAATTTGTTGAATGTACATATACAAGCACACACACACACACACGCAAGCACAATTGTATGTGTGTGTGTGTGTGTATTACACGCATATACAAATAAAAGTATGTGTCGGACTTTTTTCGCTTTATGTAAAAACCAAACACACACACACACACACATACAGAGACGTGCACGCTGAGTGCTGGGCAAACGGTTTGCGGCAAGTCTTTTGTATGTGTGCGTGTGCGTGAGCGTGTGTGTGTGCTCACGGAGAGCGAACGTAACGGCAGTCGAAACGACGACAGGCTCCAAAATGTAGCTGCGAAGCCAGCGTTAAGGAGCAAATAAATGGCTCGAAACAAACCAAAAAAAAAAAAAAAAAAAAAAAAACCGAAAAAGATAAAGCAAAGCGCACGCAGACAGTTAACCGTTAGGCAGCGGCAGCAGCAGCAGCAAAAAGTGCCCAAAAACTTGAGTGTCTGTGTGTTCGACTCTAGGCCTGTGCTTTGTTTTATTATTATTATTGTAAATTGTTTTTCAACAAATTGCCTAGGTGTGTTTTCTTTTTGTTTAAGGTACGCGCCGTTGTTGAATTTATCGTTAATATATTGTGTTTCACTTGCACTTTGTTGTTTATGCACATTTATTTATACTTTTTGTATATTTACGTTTTTTTTCCACTAGCTATTTTCTTGTTTTTTGTAGGCTGTTGAATTTTTTATGAAGTCGCAACAACGCACACACTCACAGCTAACTCACACTCACACTCCCACTCGCTCGCGCACTCACTAGAGAGGGGGAACGCGGCGACGGCCCACACAGTTTTCGACTGTCCTATGTCTGTATGCGTGCGTAGTCTGTGCGTATCCGTGTGTGTGTGTGTGTGTGTGTGTTTATTTGTCGTTATACCAGTGTATGTGTGCGAGCGGCCACGCTGCCGACGATGTGAACAGATCCAAATCTCGCCCAACACTGATGGGGATGGCGTCTGGGCGCTGGAGCTGGCTAGAGTAGAGCAGATGCCTGCCTATTGTTAACAGTGCTCTGTTAGCTTAACATGATATGGCCACTCACAGTACTGAATGCGGGCAATAGGTCAGTGTTAACAGTGAGTGCGAAGGCAAGTGTGAGCGCTGCTCTGCCACTGTTACTGTACGCAGGAGCGCACAGGTATCCTGTTAATTTGATAACTGTTGTCGTGAGGCTGTTTCTTTTTCATTATTTTTTCAATCTGGCTAGCCTTAGTCTGTTATTTATACGATGCTGTTGCATGTTTTAGCCCAAGCATCTGGTTTCTATCAAGAACTTTGTTGTGAGCGCTTGCGAAGAACTACTGTGTGCTTGTGTGTGTGTGTGTGTGTGTGTGTGTGCTTGTAGGTGTTTACACGTATAGCCATGTTGGATTGAAATCGTTTTATGGCGCTGCTTCCGTTAGCCAAGCCGAAAAATGTTTACTACAAAGCAACACAACGAGAGCAATGTGCAAAATGGCCTTTGTGTGCATGTGTGTGTGTGTAAGAATGATGTTGTTGTTTTTTCTGTTTTCATTCTTCTTCTGCTTGTTGTTGTTTTTGCCATGTGCTATGATAGTCGGCACTCGTGCATGAGCTAACGGTAATGCGGCCATTTTTTTTCTTTATGCGTATTATTTAAAATAAGCATAAAAACTATATGGAAACTGTCACCACGATATTAAGCTCGAATACAGTAAAAGCTCGCTTGAGCGAACACATTTAGTTAAGCTTAAGTTAGTTTAAAAGTTTGTGAAGATGTAGGATTGTCGATTGTTTAAAAATTTGAACTTTAAGACAAATTTTCGTGTGATATTTTGAACAAGAAAAGTGTTATTTTCTTCCTTAAAAAGAGGGTGCACGGTTTGTTATTAGCCCAAGGTAAGGTCGATTTGCTTGATACAAATTTAAGAATTGGATTGGAAAGTGAAGTCCGTTAGTAGAGCTTTTACTGTACATACATATGTATATGCATAATTTAACAGCTGCAGCACATGCATATGCATATGAATGTAGCTTTGTGTGTGTGGGTGAGCAGGAGCTAGCCTGGCTTCAGATCTCCCAAAAGTCAATTAAGTTAGCCAAAAGCGAAGGCCTAAAAAGCAGCTGAAAGGGAAACGTTCATAAGCTTTGGCCGGGCGACGTAGACGTGAGCAGAAGCAGCAGCAGCAGCACATGTTGTTGCTGCTGTTGTTGTAATTGTAACGAGCCGCGGCGTGCGTAAAACGCACACAACAACAATAACAGCAACAACAACAACAACGACACACTTTGCTAATGGAGCTGTGTGCTTAGGTTGATATTGTTGCCACTGGCACAAAGGGAATACACATGTCCGGGTACACACACACACGTACTAACGCACACACACACACACTCACACACACATACACAATGAGCTGTTGCTGTGAAGCACGCGCCTCTTTGATTAGCCTACTTGGAGGCGCTTTGTTTGGCTCTTCAATTTACATTTAAGTAGACAGCCGCACAAATCTATTGTGTATGCCACGTTTATTTGACGTTCAGCGTTTAGTTCGCAATTGACTGAGACTAGAACTGGGAATTGAATATTTGGCGGGCGGCAAAGGCTGAGCGCAGCCAGCAACCTGCGAGCGTGTCGAGTGCACGGCGTAAACTGTTTGGTTCCCACGCACAATGCGACAACCATAACAGTAGCAGCAGAGGACAACCGTAACAGCAGAAGCAGCGGCAGCAGCAGCGGCAGCAACAGTGAAGAGAGCCTTGACTGTTAGTTAACAGAACGCTAACAGCGCACCAAAGTTGGCCAATAGGTCAGTTACACTGCAGCTGCAGCTGCTTTGCCGCATCGCAGAAAACTCAATGTTAAAAATTAATTTTCATTAACAGACACTGAGAAAAATGTAGCTGCATTGAATAAAGAAAAAGATAACATTGTTCGACTAAAAGATATCCATTATTTAAATGCTAAGCAAGTTTTTTTTTTCAGGATATATATAAAATCGTAAATGAAACTTGAACTGAAAGCAGAAAAGAGATAAATATTCATGAACATTATTTTGATAAGTAAAAATAATTGGGCTCAATTTTATTTGTTGTAATAGTCCTGCAGGGCAACTCTCTGCAAGCAGATTAACAATATTTAAAAAAGATGTCAGGATGGCAGGCTCTGCGTCTATATTCAGGCAGTGCACAATTTATGCATATGAATATAGATTTCAAGCAGAGAGTGTAAAAGCAAATGCTTTTAATTGTAAACAAAGCAAAATTAGAGCATCAATAAATAAAGTTGAATGTTTAATTCAAGGCAAAATGATATTTGTATGGTATTAGTTTAAACTTTGCATATTTCAAATTTGAGCCCATTTTTCTCCTGTAAATATCCCAAAAGATATTTAAATATTTATTAAATACAACTTGCATTTGATTTGCGCAGATGTTGCATAGGATCAAGTTACATTTGTACAGCGAATTATAAAGATAACTAGAGATAAAGCTAAGGCACTTAACGGCGATCGGTTTTGCCGGTGCCTCGTTTGCCGGAATACAAATGCCGCGGCATTTTGGTGCCAATGAAACGATCCGCCTCGCCTTTGAGGCCCAGCCGTGTCACCTTCTTGGCAATGTCGCGCTTGGCCATGATTTGCGCCTTCTTCCGGATGGCAACGTCCTTGATGCCGAGCGTATCGCGCGATGGCGCACGCTTCAGTGGCTGTCCGGTCTTCTTGACAACCGCTGAGGATTCTTTGTCCAGCAGCGGCTGCTTGGGTGTTGTCTTGCTGCCGACGGCCACAACGCCACGGCGTAGATCCATCACGGATTTGGTGAAATTGGCATTCTCGCTGCCGGACATATCGACGCCCAGACCCTCCATGGTCTGCACCAGTTTGCTGACGGAACGATCACGCACCTTGGGCTGCTTGTTGCGCGGAATGATGGGCTTGTTCTTTCTGGATGACAGACGCTTCTCGTCGCGCAGTTCGAAACGTTTGCCGCGTATCTGTTTGGCCATTTCGCGAATCTCTTTGAGCGTCTCGTCCATGGACATGTCGGGCACAGCGTAAACGCCGCCAGATTCTCGCAGACCTTCTTCGCGCTCCAGCTCCTCGAGCTTCTCGAAAATATCCGCATCGATGTAGTCGGCAATGTTGCGACCCTCCCAGAACTCTGGTATCACATCGTAGCGCTCCTCCTCGGCTATTTCCTCGTAGTTCTTCTTCAGATCGAGCGTATAGTCATCGCCCATCTCCTCCTCAATCTCCTTCTCCAGCTTGCGCTTACGTTCAGCCTTGGCGGCGTTCTTCTCGAGGCGCGCCAAGGCCTGCTCGGGTATACATGGAGCTCGAACCTTGTCGTCGCGCGGAGCGGGCATTGCCACATGCAAACGGTTCAGTATGTTATCCACCTTCTTGGTGCGCATCTTTTGGTCCACGCGATAGGAGAGCAGGCGTTCGCAAGCCTCTGTTTTCACCTCCATAACGCCAGTCTCTTGCACTGTGGACATAAACATGACAGGCACCTGTTTATCCTCCTGCAGCTTGGTGATTATGGCTTGTCGCTCCGCGGGCAAATCCTCCACCGATAATATGTCGATTTTATTGATGGCCAGTATGAGTGGCTTGTTTGTGAACAAAGGTTTGATGCTCTCGAACAGCTGTACCTGCTCCTCCAAGGAGTGACCGCACTGCTCCGAAATGTCCATAAAGTACAGGACACAGGCACGCAAATGGGCCAAAGCGGTAATTGCCTGCATTTCAATAACATTACGCTCCTCCAACGGATGATCGAGTATGCCGGGCGTATCAATCACCTGCCAGCGCAAGTATTTATAGTCTGTGTGACCCACATACAGGGATTTTGTGGTAAACGCATACGGCTGCACCTCGACATCGGCACGCGTGATTTTGTTAATGAACGAGGACTTACCCACGTTGGGGAAGCCGCAAATGATAATGGTGCGTGAGTAGGGATCAATAGTAGGCAGACGCGATAAATGCTGACGAACTTGCTCCAGATAAGTCAAATTTGAAGCCTGACGCTTCAAGATTGTGGCCATGCGACCCAAGGCAGCCTTCTTCAGCTGCTTGCAGCGGTACAACGAGTCGCCGTACTTGAGCAGACGCACATAGTCCTTCGCCACACTGCAAAATTTTAATAAGTTATTATTCAGGATGCATATGGTGGAAACTGTCAATTAGCTTACTTGTCCACCAAATGCCTAGCTGTGTTCAACTGACCCAACGCCAGTTTGTAATGGTCCTTGTCGTAAAGCACATTCATCAGATCTGCATAGAATGGATGCACATCATCCAGTTTGGGAAAGTCCTGTATTATCTGCGAGAGACGATCGTGGAAATTCTGTTGCGTGTACTTCACCTTGCGCGTGTAAAAGGCACGAATACGCGAGATTTTGTAGCCCTTGTGAACGACTGTGGGTGTCTTGCGCTGGGTTTTCGACAGCATAATGTCGATAAAGTCCTGGAAAATGGTGTAAAGGATAAATTATTTACATATTGCGCATTTGTAAACATTTGCTGTGAGGTTATGTCGTTGGCACTGGGTGCTCCGACAGACGTAAACAATTTAAAATACTGCTACTGCTGCTTACCTTTGCTGGCGGGACCACCATTATCTTTTTAAAGTTGTACAAACTCATTTTTGTAGTTATTTATTTATTTTCCACGGCAAATTAAAGGAAAATAAATGGGAATCGCTTGCAAAAACACCACGCGGTGTCTGCAACAAATTCCAAAAAGAGCTGATATAGAGTCTAGAGATGGGTTCAAGGCGCGATAGTCAAAAACATCGCCAAATTTCAATGAAATGAAGAAGTCGTGCAAAGGTTGGCAACATGCAAGCTAGTTATCGAATATCTTATCGATGGCCTAACCTTTATCGACGTATTACAGTAATTGGACTCATATTGTTATGAATTTAATAGAATTCACGAAAAGCAAACAATTTGATGTTAATTAAGCAAACGAATTCGTTAAAAAACGTATTATTAAAATATGTTATCCAATTGAGAATAAGTATAAGTGCTGCATTGCGATCTAAACGCCGGAAATAATGCAATGTTGTTTATTTTAGGATCATAGTTAAACAAAAACTTTATGCTTTACATTAAAATAAACAAGAAACTCTAACAAAATGCTGGACCGAGCGAATGGCAAACCCTTCAGATGTGACCAATGCAACTATACGTCCAATCGTTCCTTTGATCTGCGACGTCATCAGCAGCGCCATGCCAGGGTGAAGCCCGTGGAAGGAACTGTATTCAAATGCAACGAATGCTCCTTTGTAACGAAATGGAAGCGCAACATGGGACGCCACATGGAGAAGCATAAAAAGACTGCGGTGGCAGAGGACAGTCAACTAGAGGATGAGACCATAGAGGAGTTTATAGTGGAGGTAATTGAAGCATCCGAAGATCCGGAGATCGAGGAGGAGCAAGCTGCAGCCGATCAAGCCACAGTCACCATGGTTCTGGCTTCGGATAAAATTAACGAGACGCCAAGAGATAAGAAGCTGAAACGCTTCAAGTGCGAACTATGCCGCTATACATCGAATCGCGCCTTTGATTTGCGACGTCACGAGCAGACGCATTTTCGCATAAAGGTGGTCGATGGCATGGCCTACAAATGCTCCGAATGTCATTTCATAACCAAATGGAAGCGTAACATGAGGCGTCACATGCGCAAGCACGAGGATCCCAACGAGGAAGAATTCACAGCAGAAACGAATGAGCCGGAAGCCGAAGAGATTGTTGTGGAGCTCATCGATGCAGAGGCATTAAGCTCCGATTTTGACATGGCATCCGAGACGCAATCCTGCTCCCAGGAGTGGTCCGCACCCGAAGAAATCCAGAGCGAAAAACGCTATAAATGCGACCAATGTGAATATGAATCGAAACGCGGCTACGATTTGCGACGTCACGCGCAGATTCATGCAAAGGCAAAGCCACTGCAGGGCATAGCATATCAGTGTAATGAATGCTCCTTTATCACCAAGTGGAAGCGAAATATGAGGCGGCATATGGAGAAGCACAAACCGAAGCCAATCGAAGCTAATGTTCAGGTGGACGACTTTGTTGTGGAGCTAAAGTCTGTCGAGGGAGATCACACTGAGAAACTAAAGTCCTTGGAATTGGAAGAGGATCCCGGGGTACTGCCATCCTATTGGATAGCGCTCCCAGCAGATGATACAATGTATTTAGATACCGCTTCATAGCAGTTGGTTCCCTTCTAGAAATTCGAGATTAAAGGCTGAATTGAAGCCTTTGCTAACTATAAAAGTACACATGTACATATGTATAAATCTCTTTTTAAAACTATATATAAGAAATTGCAATTATTTACAAATATTTTACTGGTAAACTAATGACAGATTATTGCCAATAAAACAATAAACAAAAAAAACATATTAAAATTACCGACAGATGCTAGAGATAACAACGATAACATTGCGTTATGCAAACATGCAGATGCAGCGAAGTGAGAACACTGTGAAATGTTAACTTCAAGCATGCTACAATGTATGCGCAACTAATTTTACATACACCAAAATTTGGGCTCAAAAATAACCATGTTTTAATAAAACTACTCCTGCAAAACATTTATAAAATAAAATAATGTATGCCCCATTAATTATATAACAGCTATTATTAAGCCATATTAAAAGAAGCTTTAAATGTATCGATATATCGTATACAAAAACTTATCGATGTAAAATACATAAAAGTCGCAGTGACAAAAATCGATACACGGATGTTGATTCATCACTAGTTTCGATGAATTTTTTATATAGACAACCACACGGAATTGTTGCTTAAATTTGTTTTAAATTAACACAAATTGCTACGTCTAAGCACAATACATAAAGGCAGAACACAAATATTTTTATTAAAATGGCCGACGACTGGGGTAAGTGCACGTGGATGCGTCATCAAAAATAAAACGTGGGCGCTGCGCATGTGGCGCTCTTGGCGCCCCCCCCCCCCTAACCCTGCAGCCCCGCCCCCGCTCCGACCGCGCACTTTCGACAAGAAAGGAGACGTGCATCCAACCTTGATATTTATGTATATTTATAGCAAATTTATGTGGCGTATATGTACATATATAATAACCAAAAACATTATGTCTTCTGATCTTGCAGAATCCGCCGCCGACAGTGAAATTGTCATACGTCCGAATGCAACTAACAATATAAACAAATGGGAGGGCGAGGACGACGACGAGGATGTTAAGGTGCGTATAAATTAACACGCAGTTAGCATATTGTTAACAAAGCAACCCAATTGTTGCTGTTGTAGTTGTTGTTGATCTACTTTTGTTGGCAGGCGAAACGAGAGTTGTGCTCGTGACACGAGTGCGCACGACGTGTTCGTGGCAAAAAGTATGATTTCATCAGCTCAACACGAAATCTTTCAATATTGCATTAGATCAACATATTTAATTGCGATACAAATTTAGTTAATATATGAATTAAAGAAGTTAATGAACACAACAATTCACAACCCAAGTCAGTAATTATTTTAAGTTTGTGTATTTTCGACTTGTTATTCGTGTTTAAAACAAATTCAACACGCTTCCATCTCTTGCCTAAACTAGTTTTTTTTTATTTGGGGTCTTTTGCTTTTGTTAAACAATTTTCACTTTCGCTTTGCCGTACACGTGGTCACTTTGTTATTGCACTTTTATACGCTAAAGCAACTAATACTAAAATAATTTTCAATATTTAGGAAAGCTGGGAGGATGAGGAGGAGAAGAAAGATGAGGAGAAGCCCACGAAAACAGAAGCGCCAGTTAAAACTAAACCCAACAAGGCGCTGAAAGCGAAATTGGAGGAACAAGAGGTTTGACCTCGCCATTATTTGTTTATATAAATGAATCTATTTCAACAAAATTACTTAGCGCCTAAACGAGGAGGAGGAACAGAAGCGTCTGGCCAACATGACAGCCGAGGAGAAGTTAGCGGAAAAGCTGCGCTTGCAAAAAATTCAAGAGGAATCGGATCTTAAGAGTGCCCTAGACACATTCGGTGTAACGAGTATAGGCGGCGGCCTCGACGCCTTCAATCCGCAGAGTAAAGAGGAGTTCAAGGAATTCGGTGCCACACTTAGCTGGAAGGTAGCACAGTACCGGGAATCCATACATTTTCCAGAATTTATAGAGGATCTGGTGCGCAGTTTATGCGTAAACTGTGAGTGATAATTGCGAACACACAAATATATATATTTATACCTATACTGATAATAATTGTGATTTCCCCATCAAGTGAGCGCCGCTGACATTAAGAAGGTCAAAATGAGCGTGGAGAGCTTGCATTCGGAAAAACAGAAAATGGAAAAAGCAAATGCCAAGAAGTCAGCTGCCAAGGCCAAGGGAAAAGTTTCGCTGCGCAAAGAAAGCGATGTAGGTCAATTTTGCATCGATTGGCTTCATTCATTAATTATGTATACATCTTTATAGGATATTGATGACTATCAAAAGTATGGAAATGATTTTACCGATGATTACGATGACTTCATGTGAATAATAGGATCAATAGATAAACGCATATAACTAATTATTGAATATATATATATATATATATAAAGTTGCTTGTTGATGTCGAAGGGAGTTCTTCTTGTTAAAGAAAATTGCGCTGGAATTTAAATCCTTTTTTGTTGATTTTGAGAATGCTGTTCAAAGGCGCCATATTAATATACATATATGTACATTTAAGTGTAAGCATATATATATATTTGTATGATAGCACAGACACACACCATTATACATACAGACATAAATGCATGTAAAAATTATAAATATATATACATATATATTTAATAGAACAACTAAAGTCAAGTCAAGCAAGCAATCAAGAAACCTCAACGAACATTTTTCAGATTAAAAAAAAACACAATAAATTAGGTACATGAATGGCTTCTTGTAAATTCACTTTTGTATAATATTATAAAGCGATATTAAATTGTAAAACAAGCTCAAGTTGGGATTTTTTAGCTTTTTTTTTTTGCTTTTCAAGCTTAAACTGTTTTTAAATAATCGTTATCGACTCGTCAAAAGCGAAATTGATCGAATGAACGCTGCAGTCGATAATATTCAGCTTGTGACGTCATAAACTCATGTGCGTCAAACTAGCGGCGTTGAAACTATAGACTATAGCGGTGAAACTATAGACTTCAATCGTGTATATGCGGTTTTCGGGGCCATTATCCCTAAATTAAGATATTTAAAGAATGGTGAAAACCTAACTTTTCAACCCCTTTGTTTACCCATATTATAAATTAAAATTCAAAAATAAATGAATGCAGATAGTAAATAATTTAATTTTTTGCAATTCTGCATTTAAATTTTTTGGTTTCGTGCTTAAAAACATAAATAAATGCATTTGAAAGTGACCGATAGTTTTCCGATAACAAGTACCAAAATTCGACGCTAAGTCACCGCCGCTAATTTGACGCACGTCGTATAAATGCATTTGAAAGTGATCGATACTTTTCCGATAACAAGTAACAAAATTCGACGCTAAGTCACCGCCACTAATTTGACGCACATTGAGAATTTAATGCATGAGATGTATTAAAATGCAGATGTGGATGCCTCTACTTAAAACGCATTTGTGGATATCGATTATTTGTGTACGAAAATTGATAGAGCTTAGAGCTTCGATTTCGTGCTGTCATTGTTTTGGTTTATTGTTACGATTTTAACAAAAGTTTTAGGTTTCGTGTCCCTGTGAAATATGTTTCAATTTGATTTGTAATCTGTCTTTAAACATTATCTACAGTCATTAACAAAATGGAGCCAACAACCTCCAGATCTGCCGTCGAGTCGCTAAACTCCGACTTCTTTTACGGCTGGGATCTATTATACAAAACTGTAGATGGCATTATTGATAAGAAGGCAGATGTTCTGATGGTGCTTGCTCATTTTTTGCTGACCAAGCACTACAAATTCCGCTGCGTTGGTATTGGAGATGACGTGAGTATGTACAATATATATATTGAACTTAAATTCAATACATATTATTGCTCGCAGAAAACTTTGCCCGAAGACGAGGTGGGTAGCGAATTGCTGCCGGATCATTGGAATGGCGACAGTAGCAAGTACTCACTGCGATATGTCCATAATAAAGTGCTTTATTTGCTGCTCGGCCATATTACGGAAGATGCTCTGATTGTCAATCTGTTAGATATTAATACCAAGAATGTCTCCAATATTTGCATCACGCCCGAATCCCTGGTTGCCGAGGTAAAGGGTGGCATTACAAAAATCATGCCAACTGCAACGGATATTGTTGAACGCTTTCGCAAGGAGCTTTGTGATCCGGTAAGTCGGAGTCCCCCCAACAAATCAAAGTTAAATGTGGGAGTCCATTTTGATTGAAATATATATATTTTTTAGGTATTTACTGGAAACTCACGCGAGGCAACTACACAGACACAAGCAAGCCAGCAGACACCGGCAAACATAACTGATCCCTTGCGCATTGGTGAACCTAGACGTCCGGGGTAAGCTATAAAGCTAACATTTTCTTATTAGGTATCTAATTTTTATTTTTTTTTTTTGCTTCTAACATTAAATTGTAGTTCGTTCATGCCGCACGGCTTTGAGCCGCGGCCATTTGGTTTCCCTGACATTGGTCGTGGGGATTTGGATCCGCTGGGTCGGGGCTCAGGTAATCTATTTGCGTTTCCGGCCAATCCAGGCTTGGCGCGCTTTGATCCGTTTAACCCATTAAATCCGCGTAATCCGGGTACAATGGGTCCAAGCCCAGATCATATGCATCCACCAAACTGGAATCCCGATTACTATATGTGAAATACGCACAGAGCCGACATATGGATATGGTCTGCTTATAAAATCAATAGTTTAAATGCATTACAAAGTTTTTTCAATTGGAGTCTGAAAACCCAAATACAATTATAAATTGGACAGAAGAAATGCTCGTTATATGGTTTTTATTTGAACTAAAATATAATTTTTATTGTTGCTCATATACAATACAGAATACATATTACATATTACGATAAGAACAGACAAATCAGCCTAAACATTTATTTTCAAAATGTATTGATTTTAACGTAATACAATGTATGTGACAATACAAAACATAAACTAGTCTTGTGAATTTTGGCTGCGAATCGGTGCAACAAAGTGAAACGCATTTAAATTTACACAAAAACAAACATAACTAAAAACTATGCAATGTAATGGCGTGTTATTGCGCAAAAAAGTCAATTTTCGGATATATATATATATATATATTTCATATGTATATATATATGCGTATATATAAAGTTGCCAGTGCGCTGTCGTAATCTCAATAATAGAACAAAATCAATTATGCGCAGCTATTAAAAGTAGAATATATTATTTTTACATATATGCATAATGGATTTTGTGTGGAATACATTTAAGTCTAACCTAAGATTATTATTTTTTCTTTTTATCATAATATTTTGCTAAATTAATTACTTAATGAACTTTGGAAAAAGTTCGCGTTTTTCTGACTTAAATTATTGCTGCACTTGAATAATTTCTGTTTTAGTTGATACAAAAAAAAAAAAACCAAATCATGTTTTGTGCCTTGGCGCTTGGTTTTATATAGTGCGATTGTGTGAAGCATTTGATATCGTTCTGTCTGTATCCTTCACCTCATATTTCTCTCAGTCCCATTCCCCAATAAACATGCGTGGCGTGGGCACATAGCCGCGAGTTGGCAGCGGTAAATGGCGTCCATAGATGTGATTGTAAGGTGATTCGACAAGCTCCGAATCTACAAGAAGCGCAACAAAGTGACATTAGCAAATATATACTAATTTTTATATATAGATATATTTATGTAAAGCTATATATATATATAATGGTAAGATGTTTGGTGTATGTACAATGTTAACGGTAAAGGTAAACTGTTTGCCGTCCAGGGTCCAAGTTAAAGTGGAGTTAGTACAAAAAATCGGTACAGGTTTTAGCTATAGCCGGGTATATAAGGTGCTACCAATAAAAAAAATATATAACCATAGGCAATTTCGCATTTATATATATACACAGCGCATATCCAGATCGAACCCAATTTAATGCTGTAAAATAACCTCGTTTCGGCAAAGGGAGCGAAAAATTGAATTAGTTCCATTTTCAATAGTCAAGTATTTGGATTTTCTTCAGACTGAGGCTGCGCGGCTTGCGCGGCTTCAGGTAGCCATAAATGGATTCCATGTCGCTGATGTCAAGCCGGCTGGCAGTCCGCCCAGTTCTTTGTGCTGGCGGTGCATTGTTTGTGTTTGTTGCTGCTGCTGTTGCTGCTGCTTTTGTTGTTGTTGTGGCTGTTGCTGTTGCTGCTGCTGTTGGTGGTGGCTGCTTTGATGTTGCTGTTGCAGTCACAGTTGCTGCTGTTGCTGTGGTTAAGCTCTTTGTTGCTGCTGTGCCTGTTGTTATACTTTTGTTTTTACTATTGAAATTATTTTTGTTGTTTTTCAAGATGTCATCATTGTTGTTGCTGCTGTTCGTTAGCTGTCGCTTGTTGTTGCTGTTGCTGCTAGTATCGTCATATGGTTTTTTGTCAGCTTTTTGCAAATGTGTCGCCAACGTCGGCTGACGTTTGCCCCGCCAACTTGGCGCTGGCAGCTTGGGCTTATTATAATATTGTGCACGCCTGCCGCTGGCCTGAAACTTGCCGTAGCCAATGTCCGAGTCCATGGAGTTGGGCACACGCTCATAAATGTTAACCACCGATGGCGCTTTGGCCACTATGCGCCGGCGTCCACCGTACATGTACAGTGAACCCTCCTCGTTGGGCTGCTCGAAGAAGCTCTCCGTGGACTGTGATTTTTGCCGTGCCGCGAGCAGCGCCGGCGCCGCCAGCTGACGCAGCTGTGCCCGATCCACACACATGTCCGTCTCCTCGTTGCTGTGCACCGCACGCGGTCGCTGCACGTGTCGCAGCTGGCGCTGTGGGTAGCCGCTCGCTGTGGTCTTGTCCATGTCGTCAAAGTCCAGTTCGAAGTCATCGTAGTCGTTGCTGTCCTCGTAGCGCTCGTCTGTGGTCATTGTGTTGGGCTCGTCCTCCTGCACCTGCTCCAGCACCGAGATGTCGCTCTCGCTACACCACTTGGACACGCCCACGTGCCTGTCCAGCAGCCCGCCGCTCAGCCGCTGATGGCGACGCAACTGCTGCTGGCTGAGACTGCGCTGCGGCCGCGGTGCTGGCACCTGGCCACAGAGCGGCGCCAGCGCATAGCAGCTGACACAATTGCAGGCATTTTCGGCCGGCAGCAGAGTGCGCCGCATCGACGGGCGCCTAGCGCCCTGACGCACCGCCACCTCCTCCAGATCATCATAGTATTGCCCAGTTGGATAATAGCTCGCCAGCGGCTGATGCTGCCGATGGCAATGGCGATGCTGGTGTCGATGGTGCACATGACCATGTGCTGGGTGTGGGTGTGGGTGTAGGTGCGAGTGCGGGTGCGGCTGCAGGTGATGTTGTTGTTGTTGTTGTTGTTTATTGCTACGTGCTTTTTGGTGCGGATGCTGGTGGTGCTGTTGGTGTTTGACTGTCGGCGCCAGAGCGCTGCTTTGTGTCTTGCTAGTTGCAGTTGCAGTTGTTGTTGCTGTTAGGTCCGTTGGCAGTGATTGTGGTTGTTGTTGTTGTTGTTGTTGCATTTGCAATGCGTGCGTATTGTGTTGTTGCAGTTGATGTGGTGCTAGCTGTGCTTGATAGCCGCCCATTTTATTATAAATACCTATGCCACTCTCATAGCTGCGCGTCTGCCAGATCTGGTGCGGATGATGGCCCGCCGGCTGATGATGCACGGCATGCGCTGCAGCCGCTGCTGCCGCGGCCATCAACTGTTGCTGCTGTTGCTGCTGTATGTGCTGCGCATGTGGATGCATGCCGGCCAAATGGTTGTGTATCATCGAGGTCTTCTTCTGGCTGAGCGTGCTCATGCCGTTGCTGCTGCCGTTGCCGTTCATGTTACTGATGATGTTGTTGCCATTGCCGTCGCGTTGATCCTTGGCGCTGGACTTGGAGGACTTGACAAAGTTGGGCACGCGTGCACGCAAGCCACAGTAATAAGGATCATCTAAAATAATATTGCGAACTTGTGTTTATTTCTGCTTCCATATGCCAAGAGGGTTAAGTGTTTTACCATATTTCTTGTTGTCCTTGCCTTTGTCGGACTTGCCGCGCGATAATTTGATTCTGGTCTCCAAATCAATGTCATCGTAGTCCGGCTGTTTGGGAAAAAGAGGTTTTTTTATATTTCAGTTTGTAATTTCAGCTTCTTATCAATAAGAATATATAAAAACGAGCTGGAAATAATGTTTTCTTATGTCTTCTCAGCCTAAAATGTTAATTATAGTTATTAGCAAATAACAATTGCTGTGTATAGTTTGCTAAATTGTTGAATTTGGCACACACACACATACACAACAAGGCATTCATTTTAAAATATTTAGCTGAAAATGTAAATGCAAAAAAAACCCGAAAAAAACAAAAGACTTAGGCAAGAAACGCGCTGGCTACACTTTGCGCAAGGTGCGCCAGCAAAGGCGCTGCACACGTCGTATACATATATATATATATATATAAATAAGTGTGTTTGTCTGTATGGGTGCGCTTACAGTTAGCCATAACTGTGCAGACAGTGGCCCATAGCATTAGCCATCGGTCGTTGGGCCCATTGGCAACATTCCGTGCATATTAATTACACGCGATTCGTTTGCAGTTATTTGTTATTGTTGTTGTTGTTTTTGTTGCTGAAATTCGAATATTATTGAATGCAAGCCAAATGCTTGGTGAAGCTCAACGTTGCGACGGTCGAAAAGCGAAATCGTCGCCGCAGCAAGTGGCCTGGTATTTTTAGCTACTTTGTGTCTGTGCTGACAGAACTCGACGAGAGTTCAAAACCAGAGCCCGAGCCCGAGCCAGAGCCCGAGCCCGAGCCCGAGCCCGAGCCAGAGCCAGAGCCAGAGCCAGAGCCAGAGTGTGAGTCTGAGCCAGGGGCAGAGCCCGAGCCAGCGGCAAAGCTGTAAACCATTTTGCAAGTGCTCGCGTTGCGCACGTAGCCAAGCATAGCCAGGCCGTCCGTTACGATGTTATTGCTGCTGGACTAGTTGCCACACTTCTTGCCCATAAATATATATATATATATATATATGTGCATACATATTTTTATACTCTGAACCCATTAAAAATGGATAGAAGGGGTATCATCATTTGTGCAAATGTATGTAACAGGCATAAGGAAGCATCTCCGACCCCATAAAGTAAATATATTTTTGATAAGCATCAACAGTCGAGTGGATCTGGCTATGTCCGTTTATCTGTCCGTCTGTCGGTCCGTCCATATGTATAAACTCAAGGATCTAAGAACGTATTAGAGTTAGAGACTTGAAATTGAATGCAGGTCCTCCTAGTGCCCGCGCAATACTAGTTTGTTTACGAGAATCGATTACTTGACCCGCTTACAAGCAATCGATAAAACTCGACAACGACATGCTGTTTTTCCAACAAATCTCGTAAGTTATAAGAGCTAGAGTCACCAAACGTGAAATTTAGCTTATAGAATAGTATAGTATTGTTATAATTTATTTTTATTACTGCTAAAGCAAACGAGAGCGTAGCGCTGCATTTGGGGTTGATAGAAGAGGGTTCAGGGTATCCCCTAGTCGGGAGCTCCCTTACTTTTTTTTTAATTTTGTTTATATCTTGGCTCGCACAATTGTTCCAACTCTTGACTACAAAAAAGATTGAGCAACAATTTGGCGCTAATTTGTCTCTCACCTTTGGAATCAGATCGTGCGCATAGACATTATCCCTGGGCGGCAATTTGGGCGGCTTCTCGCTGCGCTTATGCGCCAATTGTTGCGTCTGCAGCAGCAGTTGCTCACGTGTGGCAGCCACATGACCGCTGCTGCTGCCATTATTCAAATGCTTGCCCAGTTGCTGCAGCTGCTGTTGTTGGTGGCCGCTGCCAAAGCCAGAACTGCCCGAGCTGCCGTTGCTGCCGGTGCCGGCCACGCTGTAGGGATCCTCATCGGGTATGGGTATGCGCGGGCGATTCTTGATGTCCACAATGGGACGTTGCACTGTGTGGAAGAAGCAGAAGAACAGAGAAGCGTATGTCAAGGCAATTGTTGCTGCGATAAATCAATAACTGCCAGGCAAACAATTACAACACACACACACACACGAACGCACGCACAGGCACACACATGCACACACATGCACACACAAACACACTCATACACATGCACACAGTCACACACATGCACACACTCACATACATGCACACACAAACACACACACACACATGCACGCACACACTCATGGAACAATAGGCTATTTCTGCTGCAACTGCTGAACTTTAACTAATGCGCAGCCTTGAACTGCATCTACTTTGTACTGCTAGAGCTGGCAGATGGAATCAGAGCTCGTAAGTAAGCTCTTCTACAAATATAGAGAAGATATCTATGGTCGTATATCTGCATATGTATATATATGAAATCTGACGAAAGATCTGCTACAAGTATAGTGAATATATCTATGTATATGCTTCTCCGTAGTTTTTGTTTGTAAACCAGATAGTATTCAGATTTTGCATATAAACGATTGACAATCCGATATCAAGTTAAGCTAAAGTTATCAAATACTAAGAGCTAATATCAGGGATAAATCTTTAGAGGTGCTTATTACCCTATTAATTAGCTAATATTTGGGATAAATCTCTAATGCACCTTAATACTATCCCTATTAATATTGAGTTTTTAGTAACTTGATTTTGGTAAACAATAACTCACTTATAGACAGAGAGGGAGAGAGAAAGAGAGAGAGAGAGAGAGAGAGAGGGAGAGACACACACATAAAGACACAGACAGACAGTTGGACTTGCGCCTTGACTCACCTGGCGGCAGCTTGCTCTTTAGCATATCCATGGCTACCACATTCACAATGAGCACCCAAATGGGGCACTCCAAAATGTCATTCTCCGATTTGACAAAGGCCACTGCCGATAGGCATTGCGTCTCCAAGCGCCGACGATCTGGATAGGCACGGCGCAATTCACGATTTACGTTCGACTGGAACTTCTTCATGTCGAACAGCTGCAGGCGACAAAATGAAAGAAAAAACAAAAACAAACGAATTAGTAAACAATAAAATAATTTGCATATAGGTAAGCCGAGTGCATTAACTACATACGATTTGATTTCTATAGCATAGCATAACTTGCCTTGACTATTTTTTCGCTTTCGAGCGCCTGATTTGGCAGCTTTAAGATTTCGGCACCAATTGAGGTCTCCTCGTTAGGGTTGCTGGCGGTGCTCTTAACAAAAACGTTGCTCTTGGCATAGCGACGCACGAGTATATTGCCAGCATCGTCCATTTTGATCTTGACGCCCTGCAGGTGTACAAAAAATGTGTTTTATGTGTACTTCAATTTTAGCTGTATTTTGGACATTTGGCCGCGTTAATGGCCGTTTCATGTAAGGCGCCGTCAAATCTGTTTATTGTTATCAGTTTTTATGCAAATAAATTAGGAGCGTAAGCTCTTTAAAAGCAACAACAACAACGACAAAATCTGTGTCGCTCAATTTAATGAGCCATAAACTTCAGTTAACCAGCTTACCTGGCCGATGACGCGCTTCATTTCGTCCGTCTTCTGATCTCGCATGGGATTGTCAAAGCCGCACAAGCCAATGCTGCAAAAAAAAAAAAAAAACACATTTATATATGTAAATAATTATAGGCACACAACACTTTATTAATTGCAAATCAATCAGCTGCCGCATTAGGCAAAAATAAATGGGGGAAAAAAATAAACAAAAAATCAATATAAGCCCAAGCACTTTGTTGTGGCACGTTCACTTTTAGTGGAGCATTCGTGTCGAGTGTTGCATGAGTCACAGACACAGAGCCTGCTGCACAAATTTTGTTACATTAAACGTTTTGACAAAACACGGCCAAAGCACCAGCCCAGCATAACTGTGCATTCGCCTGCCACAAATTCGCATTGACAGTGATTTATGTGCTTGCCGCAATGTGTGGCAGCTGCAGCTGCCGCATAACAATTTATAATAAACATTTCATACGGCCTGTTTAATTGCCGTACGCGCCGCTGACTCATGGCAAGTTTGTTGCCTAAGTCTTTCGTCTTTCGTTTTGGTTAGCCTTGCCCAAAACTCCCTTTAAGAAACTGTCAAGCCATTTGCACACTCAAATATTTATGCTTAGTTGCAGGAAGAGCAGACGCCGCACTTAGCTGTTTGTATTTAAGGTCGCCGCAAATGTCGGCTAAAATGCTAACAAGAAGCTGCAGAGGAAGCCGCCAGCCCCAGCAGCAGCAGCAGCAGCAGCAGCAGCAGCACAAACAATGAAACGAAGCTAATTGTAATTGTCGTTCGCAAAAAGGCCACAGCAACTGTTGCTGCCGCTGCTGAACATTGTTGTTGTTATCTACACTGCTCCTGTCGCTGCTACCTCTGCCAAGCTCACCTGACGCCGCTCTGTCACTATTATTTTTTATGTTAATTTGTATAATGAAGCGCTGCCAGACAGCAGCAGCAGCTAGAAGAACGGCAGCAATTGCCGTTGGCATTTGGCCATGTGCTTTAGTTCTGCGCGTAACATCTGCCGGCGTCGACGTTGACGTTGCGGCTGCTTGGCGTTGATTTATTGGCTAAATGCTTGTAAAAACCGTTGAAATGTGTGTCAAAGTTTTCCATGAAATGAAATCGACATGGACTAGTGCTGCCGCCGCTGCTAGCTGATGTATGTGCCTTTCAAGGTTGCCCCTAAACTAAGCGGATTTGCAGTTCTTTTGTGTTTGCTTCCACTTTAAATGCTTCGTTTAGTTTTGGCATTATTAAAATTGAATGCAAGGCAAGGCGCTTCAGATGAACCTGTATCTCGAAAAAAAAAACAGAACCCCAGGCCCAACCCCAGAAACAGTCCAACCCACTCTGCCAATCATTCAGCCACACATTCAGTTACCGATTCATGGCCTGACACAACAGTTGCATTCACTTCGATGTGGCCAACATGCAGCTAGTTATATCCACATGCATACATATCGCTTGCAAGGTCGTCCACTATAAAAACAAAAATAAAATGCATATAAAAAACTGGACCTGACACGCCTAAATGAGCTAAAAATGCGAAAGGCACAAAGGCAGCAGTCAGGCAACAACTGTCTGCGTTTTGTGCTGCATTTTTGCGGCTGCCAATGAAAGCGAGAGTCCAAGCTGTAGCGGTTTTTTTTTTTGGAGTTCAAGTTAAACGTGTGCACTGGGTCAAACCTTGCAACCGGGGGGAGCTGTTGCTGATGCTGCTTCTTCTTCAAGGAAGCGGCAGCAACAATGCAGTTAACGGCGACTGGTTTCGGTGCGCTCCAAAACTGGCGCTGGCAACGCTTTGACCTGCGGCTAGTTTTGCATGGACAGGCACAAGAAAAAAATAATAATAAAAACAGCAAAATAACAGCAACAACCGGTCGAGCTAAAAATAATGCATGGCTTAATATAAAACACGCAGCAGGCAGAGCAACATTTTAAATGATATCAATAAAAACAAAAGACTCAGGCAACGAACGCGTCCGTTGAGCTAGCAGGCAGATGTACAAAAGACTCTGGCAACGAACCTTGTTAGCTTGCCAACTAGCTGCCAGTCTACTTAGTTATAATTTGCTCCAAATAATAAAATTCTAGTCGCACCTTAAATGCTGCGAAGGCCACGACTCGTTGCGGTTCTTGGCTGGAAAGCAAAAAAAAATTGGCACGTGTGCCCGACAAACGTTTTGGCTTTATGCTACAGTCTATCCGACTTCTATTGTGGACTAGAAAAATAAAACAACTGTCTGTTGATTAAAGCATGGCCTTGGCCAGGCGCGAGTCGCGCCTTTTTTGCCTCACTTTTGATTCGCACGAAATGAAAAAATGTTGCAATCAAACGGCCGACAGTGCCCTGTTTATATCACGCTGCGCCAGCTATAGCCGCTAGTTGTATTTTGATTTGATTTCAACTGTTGCCTGCGACATGCAAATTTGATTGGCAACGCCCACGCAACAGCAACAGCAGCCGCTAACTGTCATAAGCAGCAAAATTTATATTGGCGCCATTTCAATTGTTGCGAAAGATAATGGCAGACATGTAAGTGGTCTGGCCCTGAGTGCTTAAGGGTTTGCCCATTAATTAAATGCGCTTGTAGCGAATACAACAAAAAATAAAACTGCGTTGCAGCTGCAACTGTTGCTGCTGCTGTTGCTGCAACAAATGTGTGGTCCTCAGCATCGGCTGCGACGCCTCCGCAGTCTAATTAATTAATTTACATGCAACGCAAAGCTATAGATAGCTAGGTGTGAAAATTGCCAATCGGCAGCATGCAACAGGCCAGAGCTAGGCAACATACAGACACCGAAGCTGAGATACCCTTACAGCTGGTGGGTTAGCCTAGGCAGAACTGACTGTTATATTCCTAGTTTTCATAGTTGATAACCTATTAAGTTTAGTATTTCTCAAAGAAACACAGCTTATAGTTTTATAGTTTTAAAAAGTAAACAAAATAAAATATCTTTCTGAATATAACTGCCCGCTGTACTGAAAAGATTGTCAGCCTTAGATATTTTCACATACAAAATGCGGGCTACATTTTGGGATCAAATTTATATAGACTTTGAGCCCATATATTTTTAGAAATTGTATATTATAAAAATTGTTTAGTTTCCGCTGTTTAGCCTAAGATTCGGTTTATTCTAAAGAAATTCTAAAAAACCTTTGCAGTCTGGGCCATGCTACATATATATCTTTAATCCCAGCTGCTCTACGTTGGGCGTTATGGTGTTAAATACTAGTTTTTCTTGCCCAAGCAAAACTAATTATTTGTGAACAATCAAAGTCTGGCCACAAGCAACATGTAAACACGTTCAATACGCATTAACATACATAGTTCAGCAAATTTTGATAGCTGCTCCAAAGTGAAAGTCTGACCGAAACAGGTTTAATAGCTAAGAGTCGGGCTTGCGTTTAAGAATGCTCAATAATAAAAAACTATACAAACTAATTTTCAGCTTAAATTGAAGCATTCAAAGCAGCATTCAAGACCGCCTTTGATCGCTGAGCCAAAGCTCACAAGTGGTCTTTGAGGCTCTGCTGAAAGAACTGCATTCGCTTTCATTTGCATTTAGCCAGATTTCGCGTGAAAAACGTTGCGTGTGGAATGAAATGCGCCATGCATATGATAAACAGATCTATGTAGCATTCAAATGGACTGCCTATTTTTAAATTGACAAGCAGCAAATGTCTAAAAAACGTAGAAAAGAAATAGGAAATACTTAAACGTTAACAAGGGCTGACAGCAGCAGCAACTGCAGCTAATTAAACAACAAGAGCTGGGCAACAGGCAAGGGCTAGGCAGACCACACACAACAAAAACAACACACACACGTAAACCCTCAGTTGTTTGAAGTTAGCGGCATGCCAATTGATTAACTTGACACTTTCGACTCGAAATCAGCTTCAATTTTAAACAATTTAGCCCCTCTACACTAACCCACCCGCGCGGCTGCTGTGCTGGGCATATTTAACCTGCAATTGACATGAACAAGTAGCCAACAGCATAAGCAACTACATTGACAACAGCAGCAATAGCAACAGCAACAACAACAACAACAACGACTGGCAAAAAAGAAAGAGGAGCCTCTGCCGCAAAATGACAACTGCAATTTGCATCTGCAGATCTTTGATGACCTCGTCACGAACGAAACGAATGACTTTCCTTATTATTTGCAATTTCATTTGACTTTTGATACCCTGTATACATATTGGAAATGTTGTGTACACAATTGAGCGTGTGCATGCCAGATTTACAACTAGATCAAAATTGAAAGCATTCAGTTGGGCTCTATAAAACGTTCTCTAGGTTTAGAAAAAGCTTGCACTAGCTATTGAGATTGGCTTAAAGGAGTATAATTGTTTTGTGCACATATATGTAACGGGCCGAAGACAAAATATCGACCCCATAAAGTGTCATAAAGGGTCAAAATTAATCTAAAAATGGTACCCTCAAATATCGTATATAGTCATAGGTCGAAATTTCCCAACCCCATAACTCGGTCAAAACTCAACCGATTTTCATAAGGTTTTGCTTTTTATTTATGGTTTGGCCTCTAGATCAATTGTGCATCTAAATCTGACAACATAATTTTTGGTCCAAATTCATGTAAAAATGGTACCCTCAAATATCGCATATAGACATAGGTCGAAATTTCCTAACCTCATAACTCGGTCAAAACTCAACCGATTTTCATAAGGTTTTGCTTTTTATTCATGGTTTGCCCTCTAGATCAATTGTGCATCTAAATCTGACAACATAATTTTTGGTCCAAATTCATGTAAATATGGTACTCTCAAATATCGCGTATAGACATAGGTCGAAATTTCCTAGTCCCCTAACTCGGTCGAAACTCAACCGATTTTCATAAGGCTTGTGTTTTTGTTCATGGTTTTACCTCTAGATCAATTGTGCATCTAAATCTGACAACATAATTTTTGGTCCAAATTCATGTAAAAATGGTACCCTCAAATATCGCATATAGACATAGGTCGAAATTTCCTAACCTCATAACTCGGTCAAAACTCAACCGATTTTCATAAGGTTTGTGTTTTTGTTCATGGTTTTACCTCTAGATCAATTGTGCATCTAAATCTGACAACATAATTTTTGGTCCAAATTCATGTAAAAATGGTACCCTCAAATATCGTATATAGTCATAGGTCGAAATTTCCTAGTCCCCTAACTCGGTCAAAACTCAACCGATTTTCATAAGGTTTGTGTTTTTGTTCATGGTTTTACCTCTAGATCAATTGTGCATCTAAATCTGACAACATAATTTTTGGTCCAAATTCATGTAAAAATGGTACTCTCAAATATCGCATATAGACATAGGTCGAAATTTCCTAACCCCATAACTCGGTCAAAACTCAACCGATTTTCATAAGGTTTTGCTTTTTATTCATGGTTTGGCCTCTAGATCAATTGTGCATCTAAATCTGACAACATAATTTTTGGTCCAAATTCATGTAAATATGGAACTCTCAAATATCGCATATAGACATAGGTCGAAATTTCCTAGTCCCCTAACTCGGTCAAAACTTAACCGATTTTCATAAGGTTTGTGTTTTTGTTCATGGTTTTACCTCTAGATCAATTGTGCATCTAAATCTGACAACATAATTTTTGGTCCAAATTCATGTAAAAATGGTACTCTCAAATATCGTATATAGTCATAGGTCGAAATTTCCTAGTCCCCTAACTCGGTCAAAACTCAACCGATTTTCATAAGGTTTGTGTTTTTGTTCATGGTTTTACCTCTAGATCAATTGTGCATCTAAATCTGACAACATAATTTTTGGTCCAAATTCATGTAAAAATGGTACTCTCAAATATCGCATATAGACATAGGTCGAAATTTCCTAACCCCATAGCTCGGTCAAAACTCAACCGATTTTCATAAGGTTTTGCTTTTTATTCATGGTTTGGCCTCTAGATCAATTGTGCATCTAAATCTGACAACATAATTTTTGGTCCAAATTCATGTAAAAATGGTACCCTCAAATATCGCATATAGACATAGGTCGAAATTTCCTAACCTCATAACTCGGTCAAAACTCAACCGATTTTCATAAGGTTTGTGTTTTTGTTCATGGTTTTACCTCTAGATCAATTGTGCATCTAAATCTGACAACATAATTTTTGGTCCAAATTCATGTAAAAATGGTACCCTCAAATATCGTATATAGTCATAGGTCGAAATTTCCTAGTCCCCTAACTCGGTCGAAACTCAACCGATTTTCATAAGGCTTGTGTTTTTGTTCATGGTTTTACCTCTAGATCAATTGTGCATCTAAATCTGACAACATAATTTTTGGTCCAAATTCATGTAAAAATGGTACCCTCAAATATCGCATATAGACATAGGTCGAAATTTCCTAACCCCATAACTCGGTCAAAACTCAACCGATTTTCATAAGGTTTTGCTTTTTATTCATGGTTTGGCCTCTAGATCAATTGTGCATCTAAATCTGACAACATAATTTTTGGTCCAAATTCATGTAAATATGGTACTCTCAAATATCGCATATAGACATAGGTCGAAATTTCCTAACCTCATAACTCGGTCAAAACTCAACCGATTTTCATAAGGTTTGTGTTTTTGTTCATGGTTTTACCTCTAGATCAATTGTGCATCTAAATCTGACAACATAATTTTTGGTCCAAATTCATGTAAAAATGGTACCCTCAAATATCGTATATAGTCATAGGTCGAAATTTCCTAGTCCCCTAACTCGGTCAAAACTCAACCGATTTTCATAAGGTTTGTGTTTTTGTTCATGGTTTTACCTCTAGATCAATTGTGCATCTAAATCTGACAACATAATTTTTGGTCCAAATTCATGTAAAAATGGTACTCTCAAATATCGCATATAGACATAGGTCGAAATTTCCTAACCCCATAACTCGGTCAAAACTCAACCGATTTTCATAAGGTTTTGCTTTTTATTCATGGTTTGGCCTCTAGATCAATTGTGCATCTAAATCTGACAACATAATTTTTGGTCCAAATTCATGTATAAATGGTACCCTCAAATATCGCATATAGACATAGGTCGAAATTTCCTAACCCCATAACTCGGTCAAAACTCAACCGATTTTCATAAGGTTTTGCTTTTTATTCATGGTTTGCCCTCTAGATCAATTGTGCATCTAAATCTGACAACATAATTTTTGGTCCAAATTCATGTAAAAATGGTACCCTCAAATATCGCATATAGACATAGGTCGAAATTTCCTAACCTCATAACTCGGTCAAAACTCAACCGATTTTCATAAGGTTTGTGTTTTTGTTCATGGTTTTACCTCTAGATCAATTGTGCATCTAAATCTGACAACATAATTTTTGGTCCAAATTCATGTAAAAATGGTACCCTCAAATATCGTATATAGTCATAGGTCGAAATTTCCTAGTCCCCTAACTCGGTCGAAACTCAACCGATTTTCATAAGGCTTGTGTTTTTGTTCATGGTTTTACCTCTAGATCAATTGTGCATCTAAATCTGACAACATAATTTTTGGTCCAAATTCATGTAAAAATGGTACCCTCAAATATCGCATATAGACATAGGTCGAAAATTACTAACCCCATAACTCGGTCAAAACTCAACCGATTTTGATAAGGTTTTGCTTTTTGTCCATGGTTTGACCTGTAGATCAATTTGGAATCTACATCTGACAACATCATTTTTGGTCAAAATGCATCTAAAACTGGTAATCGCATATATCGTATAAAGTCATAGTTGAAAATTTTCCACCTCCATAAATCGGACAAATCTCATCCGATTTTCACGAGGTTTGGGTCTATGTTCCTGGCTTGACCTTTTTTATCAATCTGCCATCATTATTCTTGTATATTATAAATAATTGGAATATTTACACTTACTTAAGTGTATTTATATTCATTACAGGGCATTTATATGCCAGCTATGCATGCTGTTACGTGGTATCTGCTAGTCGCACACACTATCAACTTTTACCTAGTTTTCTTATCGCCTGAAAAATATCAAATTTACTCGCGGATGGCAGCCGTAAATTTATTTAATTTAATTTTTGCGCCACATACATTGTTGTTGTTTGTTGTTCGTTGTTTGTTGTTATTATTATTAAGTATTATTGTTGCCGTTGACATTTTAATGGCAGCGCATCTTCATTTTGTTGTTGTTGTTTTTTGGGGTACACAAAGGAAGCCGCCGTGCAACATAAATGCAAGCGTTGCCCTTTTTTGGGCTCAGTTGTTGCTGCTGTTGCTGCTGTTGTTGCTGTTGCTGTTGCTGTTGCAGTTGTTGCTGCTGACCAAATTACGTTTTACGAACTTGAATTGTTTTTTTGCCATCGCTTTTAATCAGCACATTTATGGACTAATGCATTATGCATTCGCTGCGCATTGAAGTGCCTCATATTGAGGTATATATATACACATATATACATTAATATCAGATACTTGTAAACTCCAATCCATTATGCAGACTTCATGACATTTGGCTGGGAGTCGAAGCACTCGCTGCTTGCAATGTGTGGGCTGTGCGGCAAATTGGCCACGGCAATTGAGTCAAAAGCGTTTGGCATTTGCAATTTGTGGCACGCAACGACGAAATCATTTTGAGACGGAATATGCTAATTAGCCTCAAATGCAGCGGCAGCAACTGCAGCCAAAACCGAGCAACTGCTTGCCAAAAACTAGAATTCTTGGCAAACAAAAAAATCAAATGAAAAAGAAACAGCTCAAATTGGCGCGCAACGGAAATCGCTCATTTTATCAAAATACGCGCAATTATTAAAACATTTTCACTTTGTTGACGCTCGTTTTATTTTCGGCCATTTTCACATGCTACAAATTGCCGCCAGCGGTGAGGTCACAAATGTCGTAATTTGCATTCGCATAGCTCCACAATTTAGCTGAAGGTTCTCTTAAAGGTACATAGCTATATTTTTCTTCGGTTGTTTTTTCTATGATAAAACTGTTTGGCATTACAAGTTCGGATTGGCAATTAAATCGTAATATGCCGCACCATCAATTTAATGGGCGTTGTTGCCGGCGCGCAAAGTTTCATTCGTTTTGCCCATTTGGGAGCAACATCTGGTGTAATTTAATCATTTATTATGGCAAAGAAAACAAAAACAATACCTCTCCTGCTGATTTGCGCTTGGCAGTGGGTCAAGGGCAGCCGATTTGCGCATAAGCTCAAAGGCAGCATAAGCTGGGATTTTTTATTTGTTTTATATTTATATATACGGCTGGGTAATTAAAAAAAAAAAAGAAGCGCAGCCCAATTATTTGCACACTTACCGCATGCCATCGAAGCCATCGTCGGAGCCATTGATGGTCAGCACCGGAGCACGTGCGTATGCCTTGGCCACGCGGCGATTGCGCTCAAAGACAATTACTTTGGCCCAGATCTCATCATCGATTTGCGTCCATTTGTCCAGCACTTCCTGTATGTGTTCCTGCGAGAGAGAGAGAGAGAGAGAGAGAGAGAGAGAGAGGGAGAGGGAGTGAGAAAATGCGAGCATGCTGAATGGCGAAAAAAAAACAAAAGACTTAGGCGAGCAACTTGCTGGAGACAAAAGAAAAACCGAATAATATCTATGTATAACGGCTGCAACTGTTGCAAATGCAACTAATGCCAGCAATTTTCACTTTCCAGCATAGTGTGTGTGTGTGTTTGTGTGTGTGCGTGTGTGTGTGTTTGTTTGTGTGTACTTTTTGCCAGCCAAAGTGAACGGCCTTGTTGGGCGCTTGCGTTTGTGCTTTTATTTTTCACGTTGCTGTTTTTCACTCACTTTACTTTTACTATTGCTTTTATTGTTGTTGTTGTTGTTATTGTTGGTGTTGCTGCTGCTGGCTGCCATTACAAGCGACTCTCTTGTTGTTGTTGTTTGTTAAATAAAAGTTAAAATCAAATCGGAGCAAATGCTTGGCACGAAACAAATGCTGGCGCGCCAGCGAGTCGTGTTGCAGCAAGACATATAAAATTATAGACAACGGTGTTTACGGCTTTTATTTGTTGCTATTTTATATCTCTACTTACATACACATACATGTGTGTGTGTGTGTTCGTGTGTGTGTGTGTGTGTGTTCGTCTGTGTACAGATATTTAAAGTGCTGCAAGGCTTTCGATTGCACTAAGAAATGAAAATGCAACTCGCTCGAGCTTGCGTCATGCTTAAGTGCACAGCGCATATTTTATATTTTGATATAGTTTTATATATATATATATATATATATAGATATATTAACTCAGGCATGCATATACATATGTATATATATGTATGTGTCCGTATCTAAAGGGGCCGTTTAATAAATACTTAAATCCTAATCACATAATTTGTGAAATCAGCTCTAAAATCAATTTGGTAACTGAAGAAAAACGCTGTCGGATTATAGATTTTGTTTTGAAATATTTGATACTATTTGAAATAATTTATATAATTTATAAAATTAAATATTAATATCTATATTTTCAAGATCAAACTACACTTAAAGTTTTTTATTAAATTATTTATATGATTAAAGTCCAAACAAACAAATCTTTTCAAGATCAAACTACATTCAGAGTTATTTTATTTGTTTTTTTTTATAAATAAAGTCCGATTTTAGTTTTTATATCTTTCTGTCTCGAACGTACATATTAAGAGCATCTTTTGGTATTCAGAAAATCCCTTTTTTAAAGGGATTCAAAAGAAAACTTTTGTTTGGGAATTAGTGAATATAAAGACATGTCGCATAACGAGTCTTGGTGAAATAGGCCTTAAACAACTAAAAAATACAAATACAAATATTTTTCAACTTGTTTTTCATATACCCAATTTAATAAATGCGAAAAAAGATTCAAATTCAGCATTTAGCATATTAAATTGGCTTTCTAATGAATTTGTAAAACGTTCGAATTAATTTGGGCCGGAAAAAATGTTAATATGCTAGCCAAACTTTCAAGAAAGTATAAAAAAAAAAAACTAACTAAAATAATAAAAAGTATACAAAAATTAAACCAAAAAATATAAAAAAGGATTTATGCTTAGGAAAGAGAAATTTGTTTATTCATTTTCAATGACGCCTTAATAAAGTGTTGTAAAGTTAATATGAAACTTAAAGTGTTGCCAATATCAAAAAAAAACCCAAATAAAAGGAAACATAAAGTTTAATGAAAGGATTAATGGTTATGAAAGAAAGCTTTTCTTTTATTCATTTTCAATTAATATGGAGTTCTTAGTGTTGCCAATTGGCGCACACTGCGTTGTCATACGAACACACAGCAAAACAGTGTTGTAAAGAGCACAAATTAATAAAGAACTGGTTCATGACTTCAGTTAATTTAAGTTGTGTGTGTACTTTTTGTGAAGCTCTCGCATACACAAAATCAAGGCTGTAAGCGCCGCACAGCTGGCCGCTTTATGGCCCCACAATATCATATGTTCAGGCAAACGGATAAGGCAAAATAAAAAAAAGAGTTCAATTAACCCGAACAAAGAACAGGGTCATAAACAAAGCCATTAGCCCAGTAACCAACATGCCCACAGTTTCGTATACTTATTTGCGGGCAGAGTTCAGAGCCGCCTTCAAAATACATGAAAACTCAGGCAGGCAAATATGTATCTAACGTCTGTTAGTTCTACATGGAGAGGAGCTATAGTTTATATGGGTGTACAGAGCGGAGCGTGCGGTAAAGTTGTCTAGGCAGCTCGCTGGATCAGATGCTGGCTGCTACTTCATGAGCGGGCCAGGCCGCCGCACATTAAAAATGCAAATAAATCATGTAGTAAAACTTGTTAACCTTTTCGTATGCTTTTGGCTTTGTGTCTGTTTGTGTGTGTGGCGTACTTTAGCTTTAATTTGTTGCTGCTGTATGTGCGAGTCGCCAGCACTTTTGAATTCACTTCAAACTCGCATAGATTCTGTTGCTCTTCAAGCTCTTCAAGCTCCTCGGGCCGCTCGAGCAGATTCACTTTTGTTGTACAGGTTTTATTTTGGCTGCTTCGCAAAAGAATCTTGTAGGCTCAAGTGTGGCCAAAACAAGTTACAACTTATTGTTGTTTTTATTATAGATCTCTAGGCCGACATCTTCGGCAGCCAGAAATTTTTATGAGACGACCTCAAAATGTCGAAGTTCAGCTTATGCTTGATAGTTTATGTTATGCACTAAGCAGTTCTTGTTGTATTTGTTGTCGTTGATTGCAATTGATTTTAATTAGCCCGCTTCGCCTGGGCTGGGCATGTTGCACGGCACTGGCGCGTGTTTGCTATGTATACGTAATATTTGCAGTGCCTGAAAATTAGCACAGCTTCGATATACGCCACATATATGTATATATATATATATATATATATATATATATATATATATATGCCAAAATGCCAATCGATTCTTAAAAAGCAACTGAACTGGTTTTTATAAGCACACATTTGTTATGCAAATTATTATCGAACCTATGTATAGCATGAAATTTTAAAGCAACAACCAATATATATATATATATATATATATATATGTATACAACTTTTTTACTCGTTGGCTCTGACGCAAATGGCTAATCAGGCGTTTTAGTTAGTCCACAACAGAGGCGTTTTAGCTGCTTTAGCATATGCAAAAAAATAATAATTATGAAATACAGCCACAGCAAATGAAATGTTAAACTAAAACAAAGTCAACGTTGAGATTAAAGAAAAAACTCCGTTGGCCTAATGAGCAGCTGCTCACATTCTAGACTTTAGCTCAATAAAAGCAAAGTGAGCTACAAAAATGTTTAATTCAGGTTAGATATGGAAATAGCGTGACAGTGTGTGCGAAGAATTAATTAGAATAGATCTAATGAAATGAATATTAACTTTTATAACTATGCGAAATGTCTTCAAAATAGACTTACGGACTAAACGAGAAAGTGAGGATATTTTCAGCACTCCGAAATTGTAATACCCTTGTAGACATTGCCCCTACAGTTTTACGTTTTATGTCTATAAGGGTATAATAAAAACTAAATACATGATTTAATTGTATCCTTAAACAATGCAACAATTTTGGCCTGTAAAGATACGATGCATTATAGGATCTTTCGAAATTCTGATAATATGTATGATGTATTTATATGTACAGGGTATCATTCTGTCATGAGATATGTAAGGCATAGTATACCTATTAGATCCATATATGTAGCTGATCAGTATCTTTCTCAGGATGGGCATACGCCTATAATAATTATCCATTTCTCAAGATGAGCATATAATATATATTCCTCATCAGTATCGAACAAAGAATGAGTTTTTGTTTGAAATAATTATCTATATTATTGATCAGCATAAATATGCTTGATTTGTCTTTCAAAAAATGGCTGAAATAATTCATAAACTCAAGATAATTTGACTGAACTTAGCTTCACAATTCTCAACGCATATCTGCAAAAACCGCTAGGGGGATTTTTTTTTCAATTAAGATTTCCGCCTGCCGACCTTTTTAATGACTGAACGAATACGAGCGTAACTTTTAGGTTGATGTGTTTTACCACGCCTCCAAGAGCATGTCATAAATGTTGCACAAACTTGAATTTAGTTGTTTTTTGTGTGCTTTGCTTCTTTTTAAAGGGCACAAGTGCCATTAAGTTGTAATTAAAGCAGCTTGTCTAACGCTGCGCCTGTGATGCGGTTTAATAAGTTCTATAATTGACACCCGGCAGCAGCAAAAAATGAAATAACAGCGACAACAACAACAAGAAAAACACGTGCACAAGTGCAATCGGCACGGAAGTTTGTGCAGGTCGTCAGTTTGGTGGCACTCTTGAGAATCTTTTTTTAAGTTTATTAAGTTTGCACTTTTTGTGTAAAATGTTGTTGAACTTTTGCAGTCACGACTTTACCACAGCCGCGCTGTGCAGTCGGAGACGCTGGCAACGGATGCGCCGAGCTCTCAAAGTTGACATTTAATAAAATGAATTTAGCTGGTGGCTGCGCGCGGCAAGCTTTGTTGTAATATAATATATAATCATCATTTCGAATTATTATGGGCTGATAAATTTATTTAACTGTGACAGGTTGCAATCGCTACAAGAAATTGCCAATAAAGACAGAAAAATACAAAAAAAAAAAACTGATGTTGATTATTTGAAATTCGAGTGCGAACTTCAAATGTCGTCTGACCCATTTTTAAAGTCCGTAAACGATGGCAAAATAAATATTGTTTTTAAGCGTTGCGATCAAGTGGATCGTTTGTCTTTGCTTAGCTTCTTCTTATCTCCATTTTGGCCAAACAAATTTATGCTAATTTCATGCATAGTTTCGACGCGGGCTTACTGGGAGCTATAATAATAGCTGGCGGTGTCTTCCGTCAGGCGGCGCACAATGCAAATCAATCAATATGTTTTCACCAAGCCGGAAATTCAATGCAGGCAGGCGCGAGATTTTTTTTTTGTAATTTTCTTGAAAAAAAAGGAAAAATGCCTGTTTATAAGGCATATTGTAAAGAGACTCTTGATGAAGTGGCATGAAAAAGCGAGGCGGCAAATTTTCCATTCAGCTGTGGGCCCCCTCGTTTAAGAGTTAAATTACGCGCTAAGTGACATGTGTGTGTGTGTGTTGAGTGTGTGTTGTGTGTGTGCTGTGTGCGGTTTTTCCTGCTTGCGCCAACGCGTTTTTGGCGGTGGCGAACAATCCTGTTGTACAACTCTGGCGAACGTGCCAGCGAAACTGAAACCAGGTGAACGAGTGGCCAAACAGGCGCATGGAAGTGGAAGTGGAAAAACGGCAAAGCAACAACAACAACAACAACAGCAACAACTGGCGAGCGAGCGAGGCGAAGCGAAAACTTGTCAGCTTGCCGAAAATGAAACTTTCATTTTCATGCCACTTTCGTCTGCGTGGAAAAGTAGCTAGAAGAAGCAGTAGAAGAAAAAGAAGAAACGGTAGACAAAGCAGCGGCAGGCTCGTTCTATTTGCCAGGCCAAAAACAAGTTCGTTGCCTGAGTCTTTTGTTTGACTGCATATGCAGAAAGCCATTTGCGGCTTGGGCTGCGTTCCCAGCTAATAAATTTGTAAACAATATCGAAAATAGCACAGGCCCAATAACAACAACAACAATAAGAAACACAGATTGCTCAATAAATGCCTGGCAGCTAAAGACAACAAAAAAAAATGGAAAAGAAACCAAACAAAACTTTAGTCAGCCCAATTCAAAAGGGCCCTCAAAGCTAAGCAACTACAATAGGAAAATGCTGCCATAATTTGTGTTTTTTGTGTTTTTTGTATCCATTTTCATGGGAAAAACTAGACGCCTTTTGTATGGCTAAACGGATTTATATAGACGCTCACGCCAATTGCACAATGCAGCGGCGTTTTCAAGCCAAAAAAAAAAAAAACGCGTGGGCGTTCGCATTTTCCATGCCAAATGCTGCATATAACACACACACACAAAATAAAGTGTCGCGCGGCTTTTCACTTTTTGCGTCACATTTTGATGAACTGGGTGAGGCTTTATGCAAAACCATTTGAAAAAAAAAATTTTAGGAGCCATAAATTTGATGGAGGGGCGCAGAAAGGTGCTCGAGTTTGATTGGTTTAAACTGTTCACTGGCTGCAGTTAACCCAGTTTAATAATAAACATAATATTTATGACAACAATGGCAAACATGGCTAAAAAGTAGTGTGTAGGCAGCAGCGGCATTTGACAAAAATAAAGCTGAAAAGCGGCGACAAATTTTACGTTTATGCGTGGCTAAGTATTGTGATAAAAAAATAGAGTATTCTGAGCGGAAGATATTATTATATAGTTATCAAACTAGTTCTTAGTTATTATTAGCAATATTTAAAGAATGCCCCAAATGGGTCACTCCCTTGCTTACATCTTTAAGGAACTCGGGACTTATATCGAAACCAACTAATAATAGAGGTTGATCATTAAAATTAAATATAAAGCAATATAAAAAACGTATCATCTTTTAGTTATGATAATCGATTAATTTGGTTTTGCTTTTAAATTTATTTTTTGTTTTATATATGTATTATTATCTCAACTTTTGCTTGTTATGGCTAATTTCCACTGAATTAAACAAGTATTTGCATAATTTTATGCAAAAATTAACTTTTGTTTTGTATAATAAATAGTTAACTTTTTATCGACTAGCCTGTGCTGTCTAATTTTCTTATTTAACCATTATTTTAGTCTTAATATAAGGCTGATTATACGATCATAGAATATCAAGGTAAACAAATTCAAACGTCTAAAGTTATTTTATTAAATACATTATTTTACTTAATGCCTGCTAAAACTACCTTATTTTCCTTCAAAACTTTTTACCATATATTTATATAGAGTTTGATGAGATAAATCATGTCATATTAGACAATATTTTGATTAGATAGTTGGTTATACTAGACTATAAGTAATTAAGTAAAAAAAAACATATAGGATTCAGTAAAATGAATAAGTTGTAATATTAATTAAGTCATGTTATAAGATAGAATATAATCTCATATAAAATAATATTAATTAATTCATATCAAACGGCTTACTATAAACATAAATTGTATCCTGATAAGCACATTTATTTATCTAAATTTATTATGGTAAAGTCAAGAGTGTGCTTGGATATGTCAGCTGATATGCTAACCTACTTATGCACTATGAATTCATGATAGATAAATCACGCTATGCTCCGCATAAACGTGACAAGAGTGAGATGGAGATATATAGCTTTGATTTTATTGTCTATTTTGTTGTTTAAAGGCCAAAATCAATGAAATACCCACACACAGACAGACGACACACACACGCACACAAGCACACACACACATTCAACACACACTCAGCTTAAGTCAAGCTCGTGCTGGGCTTGTACATTAGGGTTACGTTTGCATTTGTTTGGTGTTGTTTTTGCTGTTAGTTGTTGCTTTTAGATGTTGCTTTTGTTGTTGTTGCGGCAACTGACAAATGGCCATAGGCAAATTAAAAATGCACAACGCAATGCGATGGCCTAACGGTAATTAATGCAATTGGTCAATACAACAACAACAACTGCAGCAAATAGTGTCTGCAGCTAAGGTTTAGTGCGTTTTATGCTGACGCTGACCTCAATGCGGCCGCTGCACGTGTCGAGAATAAAAGCCACAGTGGAGAATGGCCACAAATCATAGAAGACCAAGCAACTTGCCAAGCGGAAGTCCAAACTCTTGAGCTGTCAGTTGTTCAAGTCGTGTTCATGCCATGGCCTCTATTTGCCTCTTTCGGTAGCTTCTACTTCTAACTAACATTCAACATATCTATCCATCTCTTTGTTATGCTAATGAATTGCATTTAATTATTGTTGCCGCATCGAACGGCTCATTAGATCATCTGTGCTCAGCAACTTACCTTGTAGAGTTTATCTTTTTGATACCAAACATCCTCCTCCTCCTCCTGTTGTGTGAACGTCTGATCCAGGTTTAGATCATCCCGCGAACGTGATAATATTTTTCTTCGCGATACCATTTTTTTGTATTTATTTATTTTTTGTCCAGGCGCTTCGAGGGTGAGTGTCTGCAAAGATACACGACGAGTAAGTCGTAAAAAATGCTGTGAATATGTTGGCGATATTATGTATTTAGCTTTCAAGTGTGCCGCCCATTTGTGGCAAGTATATTTAACCGTCTAACTGTACATTTACAGACTTTAAAAATTCTTTTTCGGGTAAAATTCTTTTGGTGCTGACAGGCCTCAAACTGTGCAGCGTCAAATTGCAAACCAAACAACGGCAAGGTTCAACGCACCCAAGCACATTAATAACAGATATTGTTTATGACCCGACTTCCTTTTTACAAGTCATCCCCAGGCGGCCTCAGCTGTGTAAACTTTGTGGGAGCTGCTCTTACCCAATAAAGCTCTGAACTTCAGCCGCAGTTGAATCTGCCGACTGCATAATACAACCTGCCTGCTATTGGCATTTCGACCAGCTGTTTTGCTTGTATTTCTGGCAGTGCATTCAAAGTAAATATAAATATTCTTGTTTTGTATGAAATACGAAACAGTAGAGGCTTTTAAAAGAAAGAGTGAACAGTGGGGATGAAACAAAAATGGGCAGTGAGAACGAAACAGTAAATTATTGAAGAATTTTTGGTACAGTGAAAATGGAACAGAAAAAGAGAAATGAGATCGACACAGTAAATTCTCGGTTTATTTTTGAAACAGTGAGAATGGAACAAAAGTGGGAACGGTTGAAATAGGACTGTTCTGTTCTGCCAAGAATTAACTTTTTCGTCTCATTTAGAATCAGTGTGCACTATGTGACTTTGGCATTTTTATGGCCAGCCAACAGAATTTATGTAAAACATGCAATTTTTTTTGAATTAGTTGTCGTTTTGGTCTGGCTCTCAGGCTACGCACTGTAGATACAGATACCGATACCGATACCGAAACGCCGGAGACATATGAAAATCACCTGTAGGCAGAGGCAGAGGAGACGACAAAGAGAAAATAATAAAGCACAATGGTAAAACAAAGCAAAACGTGGAGCCAAGTCGTTTGTTTTTTCACGGCTCAGTTTGTCAAGTTGATGAAAAAAACGCTCATTGCATAATAAACACCTCTTGGTGTCTTTTGGGGCCTGGAATCTGGCCGATCGACAGACGCGCGTAGCGGCAATCTTTTTAGCCGCGCTCTTTACGCTCTTTTACGCCCTTTCTCTCTCTGTCGCTCTTTTCTCTCTCTCTATCTATAAAAATATATATATGCAAATGTGTGAGGTTCGCTAACCTGTTGTCATATTTATACGCTTTGTTTGCCGCTGTGGTTGCTATTATCATTATTATTAGTGTCTATAATTGTCTGTCAGCTTTCTTTTGCCGAAATGCCTGAGTGCCCGATTGACTGATTGACAGTCCCGACTTTGGGGGATGCTGTGCTGTGCTGAGCTGTGCTGATCTGTGCTCTTACCGCCATCCATAAATTATCAACGCCTTTTGCGCAATTGCAGCCAGCTGGTGCCATTTGGAATAGTACTTCTACTCATACTCATACTCGTATTCGCACTCATACTTCTACTCACACTCATGCGAATACTCGATTCGTATTGTCAACAATCGGCGGCATTTTGTGCGATAGATTGCAATCGCATAACAAATGTTGCCTGCTGGATTTATGCAACAAAAGCCGTTAAATTGTACGACTGTCTGACAATTTTTTACACCGTTCGCTTGTCTCCGCATCTCAGCATCTGCATCTGCGCCTCTTGTCGCCAGTTTTCTGCTAGTTTATTGAGCTGCATTTTGCTTTGCACCTTTCAATTTTGGCTACCATTGCTATTGTTGCCATATAGTAGGATGCAGCCCGTCCAGACTATTGTTATTTATAGATCCGAGGCAACTTACAACCACTTTAATATATAGAACATAGTGTCTACTCCCCTTCGGTTGTTCTGACATGGCACGTACGCCGTGTACAAGCACTCCAGCCAGACGTGTTCTAGTTTGTGCCCAACGAGCAATTACGTGTATAGCTTGCCAATGATATGAGCAATTGCTTATAGAATAGATGTTAACATACCCTAAAATCGGCATAGCTGACTTTATTATGGGGCTAGCAGCACAACTGCTAGGCAACAGTTGGGCAATGGGAGCCCCACAAATATCTATTAATTTAAATTAATTATTGAAAATACAAGATTCTTTGGACTTTCTTCTGGAAAGAGTATTTCTCTTGAGGCTTGCCAAATTAAGGCCCAACTTACAGCTCATTTGGCCATTTCTGAACAAGGTGAAACATTTGATTATATATTACGGCCCGCGTCTGCCAATAATGTTTCCCGGCAATTTCTGTGCAGGTTTTATGTGACATGCCGAATTAAAGTTCCTTAACTGCAGTTTCTTCTTGGAACATTTCTGTACAGCTGACAATGCAGACATATCAAAAATTATATATGACACACTGAATGGGGCCGAGAAAAATTCTCAGATAACCTCGTTGAGGCGGGGCGGCTGGAGTGCGGCTGCTAAGTGGTGCTCAAATATCCTGCATACTCATAGCGGATGGAGGCATTGGCATGTTGGCATATTTCTGTCAAAGGTACAGCTAAGGCAAAAATGCAACCTGTATTTTTGCTTACGGAGTTCTGATTCTGTTATTGTTGCTGTTGCTGGGGCTTCTGTAAACAGAGGAGGTAGCGAAAGAGCCGTTGGGATTGAGTGTTTATGGGCACTTCATGGCGTTGTGTGATGAAGTCATCATCAGCTGCTTTTCTGTGTGTGTTGACTTTGCTGATTTGTCTGTATAATTTCAAGCGCTTTTACTGTTATATTTCACTGTTGACTGCAGGAATTAAAAAACGAACGAAAAACACGAAAAAAAACGATTGTGCATTTCTCAGAGTCATTGCGACTCGTCGTCGCATTCACTTTCAAATTTTTTTCTTCCGATTTTTATTTAGCTCTTTAGCGCACACGCACAAAATTCAACGACTTTCACAAAAATATAAAAGTAATAACAATAACCTTTGTCTTTGATGGCTGCCAGCAGCCAAATTGGCATCATTTAAATAACGCCAATTAATCTGTCTTTGATATAATACTTATATATAACTACTGGCCTTATTGCCAAACATATCCGCTAAATCTCAGACAAACTGCCCAATTTGTATGTAAATTGCCGTTTGCTGAACTTTCACAATTAAAATGGTTTATCAACGTAATGGATTGCACATTGCTGCGTTAATAAAATCATCAGCTAAACTTTAATTCAATTATAAAATGTTTGCGCTTTTCCGCAACAAACGCGCAGTTCATTAACATCGGTCGCAGCATCTGCTGACATTTTGTCGCGCTGCAAGCCATAAAAAAAATTGCTTTCGCTCTTTGAAATATTTCAAAATTGATGATTATCGAAATAGAAAGCATGCTATTTCGCAATTCAATGCTGGGCAACTGTGAAAAATCAACGAAAACGTCAGCGTAACAAAAATGTTTGAATGTTGCATGATGCGCCAGCGCCAGTTCGTTGCCTGAGTCTTTTGAATTTCAAGCCGACTTTCGAAAAGAACTTTCTATGCACAGGCCTAGGCTAAAAAAATGCATTATTAATAAACCAAACTACACTGGCCGCATATTAAGCGCTTCGCGGTTTTATGAATGAAAGTCTGGCGCGAGTATTTTAGCTGTTTACGAGAATCAATAAAGAATTTTTCATATTAACAATGAAGACAAAAAGTCAGACAGTTAGCATTGTAGTCATAGACACAGACACAGTGCTTGCATATTAATTATTTAGACATGTAAATTTACTTTAAATGGGTGTGAAGTGGGCCCCTTTGGAAATTCTAATGCGCTGCCACAAACGTTGTCGTTGTTGTTGTTGTTGTTGTTGTTGTTGTGGCTGCAACATGCCTCGGTCATTGGCTGCCGTTGTCGTCGCTCACGTTATGATGGCCACTTTTTCACTTAATATTTGCCGGCTGCCGACTGCAAATAGTTTTCAGTTCGTTTACCCAACGTTGTCATTGTTTGAGCAGAGTTCAAATGCAATGCGAATGCGTCACGAGATTTTGCTAGTTGTTGTTGTTGTTGTTGTTGTTGTAAACAGACAGCACGTGTGCTTTTGCGCTTTTGGGCAGTTAAAAGGCAACAGCAGCTGCCTAGTTGAAGCTGCGAGCACTTGTATTTTTGTATAGCTGATTTGTTTACATGCGACAAATGTGGGCAGCAGCTACACAAAGTGACTAGTTGACGGCTCAAAAAATTACTGTGTGTGTGTGTGTGTGTGTGTGTGTGTGTGTGTGCGTGGGCGTTTGCATTGAGCCCCATCACATTTGGCAAATGACTACCACGCAGTCGTCAATTTAGTTAGCTGCAACAGGTTTTGTCTGCCCTCAGAAATATGCCAAATCATTTGCCAGAAAAAATGTTAAGGTCAGTCGAATTTAAGGCTAGAAAGTATTTTTGTTTTTTGTTAAATTTATATTTCATTAGCGCTTGGCGTTCATTATGTAACCAGAACCGACATGAAAGTTGCGCTAATGAAGAGCCCCTTTGGCTGGGAACGCAATCATGCGATACTTTCGTCTAATGTGCGCTTCTCTCTCTCTCTCTCTCTCTCTCTCTCTCTCTCTCTCTCTCTTTCTCTCCTGCTGCTTCTTCTTGCACAGCTTTTGTGGCTAGTGACATGCCTCAAGAATTTTGTTGTTGGCATGCTCTGGCAGCAATTTGATTGATTGGCCACGGCCAGAAATAAACAAACCCTTTTCGTTTTGGCGGGGAGTACGAAGAAAATAGCCTAAACGAAATTGTTTTCACAGTGTGCTCGAAATTCCCGCTGGGGGTCAAGCGTAGAAGTTCAAGAGATTCACCCAGACGTGCGGCCATTAAACATTGATTTCTAAACAAATTAAATTAAGCAGTCATTGACTTTAAATAATGTGCGAATGTGTGTATGTATGTGAATTTAACGCACACGCATCAAATGAAATATAATGAAAAATGATACGTAATATTTAGCGCCTTAATGCGTATTGTACGAGTACTCGACATGGCAGCCACAGCAGCTGAATATATGGC